TGTCCTGAGAGCGGAAGGTCCAGGGTTCGATCCCTGGCTGCATCATACCAAAAGACATTTAAAGATGGTACTTGTTGTTACCCTGTCTGGCGCTCAGCATTAAGAGGCTAAAACAAGGACTGGTCGGGTCAGAGTGAGTATAATGTGTCTGAGTGGGATATTCATGTTAAACTGTGGCAAGGTATCTCAGTAAGCTAGTACTATAAATCGGCATCAGTCCTGACTAGTACAAGCAGCCACACACACACACACATACATGAACGTCGCTAAGTTAAACCTAATTTCATCTCACCTCATTTGAGACGCTTGTAGTTAAATTAAGCCACTTTGAGGTTCTAGCTCCACTAGTTTAGCAGCATATCATTACACATCTATCAATACAATACTATAAGGGAATAGGTAGGATAAGGTTCATTTTCGGCCCACAGGTCTGCTATTTAAAAAATTGAGAAGACGCTTAGAAATTGCTCTCAACATTATTAGATACGCTCTAAGCTTCGTTCATTTCAACAATTGTATGTTTGGGACTTTGGATAAAATGTGTCCGAAAGGCTGATTCTAGATGTTTTAAGGAAGTCTTTTCTAATGTTTGAACATGAGCAAGCCTTTGACGCAAGCTGATTCTCCTAGGAGATTTCCTAAAAACTTTGTTGTGGATATAAACTCCCCACGAGGTTGGTTGGTTGTTTTTTTTAACACCGGACTCAGCAGTATTGCAGCTATATGACGGTGGTCTGTAAATAATTGAGTCTGGACCAGACAATCCAGTGATTGATATCATGAGCATCGATCCACGCAATTGGGATCAATGACATGGTTCCACTAAATCAGCGAGCCTGACCACCCGATCCTGTTAGTTGCCTTTTACATCAAGCATGGGTTGCTGAAGACCTATTGTACCCATGATCTTCACGGGTCTCCCCACGAGGTCTTGATGGGGAATGGAGAATGTAAGCCCAGGAAGGAGGGAAATAGGGGAGGGGCAAAGGCCCGACCCAATCTCCCCACTCCCCACTCCCCCAGGGCTGCTTACATTCTCCGTCAAGACTTGTGGTGGGGGGAACAGTGGGTTATCAAACTTTACGGGGTTACGTAACACGATATGTGAGGTTACAGATTCACTTTTGTATTCACATCAAGAGGCTAGTTTATAAAACGTTAAATTTCACGGAATGCCCGCTTACCCCGGCATACTTAAGCTGGAATGCCAGCTTCCCCGGGCGTTCTGATGGAATAACTCCTCTACGGGTTTACCCGAGAAAAGTCCAACCTATATTTATAACAGAGTGACATCGACATAAATATTCATCCTGGGTCACCTACTTTCTCACATTAAAATTTGATTTAAAGTTCTAATATTTTGCCTTTTTCACTCATTTTTGCTATATTTGTGTATTGGACTGTCTGAGAGGTCCCAAACTTGAAAGTGTAAGAAAATATAAAGACTAGTTGTTTGATAGTGTTCAGACCAATATTTCCAAGTTTTTAACCTTCCCATTTGACACTACCGATCGACTGAACAAGTCCCATATCCTACTTTCTCTTCTACATGATAAAAACAGACATGGAAGTTTCCCTTGCTAAAAACAGTTACACTTAATATGGATGACGTGTCAACAGTTAGCCTCTAACATCTGACCTCAGATTAAATCACATTGAGACAGCCAGGGAAAGACCTGCTTCCTTATATTGTTAAGCGAAGACCCAACGCTGTCCTATTGTAATACCCTCCAGGAACACTGCAGTTCATTCCAACAATGAGGATATTTTGTTTTCCTCCACTAAAGGTAGGAAACTGGATTTAACTTTGTTTTATTTTATTTTTAGGATAATGGTGTTATCTCAAGTTTACAATGTCATAAAACAGATGTTGTGTACGCTTTAAACATTATCACAACTGGAATCTTGGCTTGCAGAGTTTCATGTTAATCTTGCCAAAGGCAGGGTTGTTGAGGAGACATATTGTGTGATATCACCATGGATATTTGTGCTGGAAATGACATTGAATTACTTCAGTGTGGTTTACAGGTATTTATGGCAAGTGTGTAGTGTATCAATCAGTGTTCAAAGTAAACGTTTAATCCCCTAAAGATCCTGGTTAGAATTGGTCTTCCGATACCCATGCTAGTTGTTAGTGAGTGAGTGAGTGAGTACGGTTTTACGCCACTTTTAGCAATATTCCAGCAATATCACGGCGGGGGACTCCAGAAATGGGCTTCACACATTGTACCCATGTCGGGAATCGAACCCGGGTCTTCGGCGTGACGAGCGAACGCTTTAACCACTAGGCTACCCGACCACCCCCGCTAGTTGTTAGGCGATTAATGGAATCTGGTGGTCAGGCTCCGTGACTTGGTTCATGCAGCATTAGAAATTTGCACTAGTCCTGTAGTCCTTGCCAAACTGCCCATTAGTTAAGGTATCATAAGGACTAGTAGAAAGTTGCCATTTTTAAGGCTTTTGCTATATGTTATCATAATGAGGACTTGCAGGCTAAAAATGTTAGTTTCTACCGCTGGTTCATGCATGTCATCATATCCCAATTGTGTCGATCAATGTTTATGATGTCAATCACTGGATTGTCTGGTCCAGATTCGAGTATTTGCAGACCGCCATTATATAACTGGAATATTGAGGAGTGTTGTGTTATTTACAAACAAAATAAAACAAAATCTATTTGTTAAATCAGACAACCACGGGATCATAAGCTATTCCCACTAAGCTCTTTAGAAAATAAGTCGACAAATTTTTCATAAATATCATTACATGGGATGTTTTATGTTTAATTCATGACTATTTATTCAAATACAAATAGTTTGAATAATACCAGTGATCTGATCAACAAGTTTTGCAGGGGGTATGAAAATGAACTCCTACCTTCCATGTGTCCATCCATAGCAAGATGTCGTTTCTGGAGCAAATCTTGAATACTGTACAATATTTCTTCACCAAACTTGGCACAAGGATAGGTCTAGTGGTGACTGGCTCCTTTTGATACTGAGACCCTTACATTTGACATGCAATCTATATAACTAGTGATGTATTCACGACAAGTATTTACCTCTGCGGAAGATATCGATGACTTTGTCCTCTTGATTATATATTCATTCTGCCCAATTTCTCCAAATGGTTTGGGGGAGGTCGGGTAGCCTAGTGGTTAAAGCATTCGCTCGTCACGCCGAAGACCCGGGTTCAATTCCCGACATGGATACAATGTGTGAAGCCCATTTCTGGTGTCCTTCGCCATGATATTGCTGGAATATGGCTAAAAGCGTCGTAAAACCATACTCACTCACTCAAATCCAAATGGTTTTGTACAAATCATTGATTGATGTTACAGATGAACTTGGATTGAGGACTTTGTTTGTGCAGTTGTTAGAGCATTCATGCAAATTTTGAGTCATTTGTCTCGGGTCAATGGTAAACTCAGTCACTCAATACAAATTTGTCACTTATCACCGACGATTGTTCATGAATAATACGTTAATGTCATCTACCATACTGAATGGATGTTTTAACATCAGACATCTGTAGTATTACAAAATGGCTTACATTTGCTAGGTTTAATCCTGCATTTTGTGGTATCTAAATACCTTCTGCTTTTAAGTAAGACCAACTTGTTGGGGATTATCAAAAAGATTAGAAACAAACAACTGTTGTCAGTTGTCTTAGAGCCAATTCGCTGTTCAGATTTACTTGTATTTTCTATGGATAGTTGAACACAAAGACCATGGTGTTAGTAAGTAAAACTAATAACATGAGTTTAGTGGTAGTGACAAAGTGATCGTGAATGGATTAACCGAACTTAGTTTACTTTGATGTAAAGTCCGGTGAAGATTCCTCGTTAGAATTGGTCTTCAGAAACCCATGCTTTTCGTAACAGGTGACCAACGGGATCGGGTGGTCAGGCTCACTGACTTGGTTGATGCATGTCATCGTATCCCAATTGCGTGTATCAATGCTTGTAGTCGCCTTTTACTGCAAGCATGGGTTGCTGAAGACCTATTCTATCCCGGATGTTCATGTGGCTTGTCTTTTTGACAATAGAATATGTTTAATAAGAATATTAATGTATGGACCTATTAGCAAACGTTACTAGACCAAAAGACATTTTCCTAGACCTCGGACTGAGTGGCTAAAGTCAAAGACTGCCATGTTAGTTCATTACTAGAAGAGTTATTTTTTTGTCATGTGTGTTGCTCTTGTCACATGTAGAGGTGTCCATTGCAAATCTTCATACTGATTTTACAGAATTTAAGTCCAAACAATTGAGAAAATTATCCTGAAACAACGTAAAGTATTTTAAAATTTTCCTGTTTCCTGACAGGGAGAAGTGACTTTATAGTTCTTTTCTCTTATGTGGAGATTGTGGTGAGGAAAATAGCTCACTAAATCCTGTATCACATACTTCATTGAGGAAACCATGTGATACGATCATTGCATGTTGTATCATAGTGTGTATTACTGTAAATGTGTTATATATTTCCTTCTTGTAAATATTGCACATATTGCATTCACTGATATGGCCAGGCAATAACAACAATAATCATGACTATGAATTTCCTCATTGTATAACAATAATAAATATTCTTTTGACAACGGGAAATATTACATGTCCACTTTCCCTTGTTGTTTTTCACACTTAGACAAAACCATAATTGCCATTTGATTTAAGTCTTATAAATGTGATAGGATTGTGATCTTTGAAGCAATGATGGATATTTGACTTACTTTAGAATTTCAATGCAGAAATGGCTGTGAAAGATGAGTGCTGCAATATTTCTTTGTTGGGCTTGTGAAACCTGTATGATAAGAGGCTTTTGAAATTCGTCACTCTGTTATTTATGATAAACCTTTGTACAGCTGAAATACTTCCATTTTAGTACTGACATGCCAAGGGGATAGCATTTTGGGGGCTAGGGAGGCTTGTCAACATGGAGGTATGTTTTGTGTCTGTTTTTGTTTGTTTTTATAATAACTGTGGTGTGTTGTAATTTCAGCAACGCTTTCATCGACAGGACTCCACATCTTCGCAGAGCAGTTCCAGTCGCCAAGACAACTCGGACCAACAAGTTAATGGCGACCGTGCACGTCGCCGAGGAAGTCAGTCATCATCGGTGAGCCAGAGCAGTTACAGTGCTCCAGTGTCTGTTGTTCAGCCAAGTGTGGTGCGACGCGATTCCTTCGAAATGCCACCAAGGACAATCATTGACTCACCTCGCCCTCAGAGGTCAAGGTCACTACACAAAACACCGAGTGACAGTAACGTGCCAAGCCGTGGTGGGAGCTGTCGTCGGCATGATATGGGTGTAGGGGTGCAGGATGATAACATTAATCTTCAGCAACATGCTCATCACCCACGGCAGAGAAGTTTTCCAGAACAGTCCATGGAAGGCTACCCAACATCGGTGAGTTACGTGCGAGCAGATAACTATGCTCAGGATGTGCTGAGCGGACATGAACGTCTCTATAGTCCCGATCTCCGTGGAAAAGACGAATATTTGGCGTTCAGTCAGGATATTGTGAACCAGCAAGGAAACATCAGCCCCATTCCACAAAAACCTAAACTACGTTTCCCTCGAACCAACCCTGCCTATATTGGCATATCGAAAAGAGATGGTAACACAGCTTATAAGAAAATAAATGTCGAGGGTCAAGGGGGGTATGATTTACCATACCCACAAGATCCTAGCATGTATTCTAGTATGGGAATTCAGACCTCCCAGTCGTACACAGACTACCCAGAAAATTACATGTATCATCGACACGAACGATCGGACAGCGATACGTCCCATTCTTCTAACCGAGGTCATTATCTCTGGCACGACAGGACTGACAGTCAGACATCTCATTCGTCCCGAAATCGGGAACTGTCTGATAGCCAGTCTTCGCAGGGTTCCCTACGCAACATGTCAGATACCCAATCATCAGCTGGGTCGTTGCGGAATTTACAAGATAGTGCTGTTTCTGTGCAAGACAGTGTTTCGTCGAAAGGATCGGGTCGGAGCACGGATCCAGATATTATGCATGATCGGTCAAATAGTCAATTGTCTCAGAGGTCAATCACAGTGACCAACTCAGAGCCAGATCAAGAACCGGATTACGCCAACGTACCAAGTATTCACCCCACAATCCTTAAGGACTACCCGCCACCGAGCATCTACGATCAAAGTGTCTACAAATACAATGCACAGAACAGACCTCAGATACAGGACTATGAAGGTAGGATATTTTTTATTTTTAAATGTTTTATGATTTGTTTGCTGATGAGATCCAGCCAACCAAGGCAATGCAAGTAAGAGTTACGGGCCTTAGACATGTCAGGATCTACTAATCGTGGGTATCAAATCCCAGATTCATGTCAGTTATGATCCATGGTCAGCATGATGTGTTATGTCCATTGTTTCAGCAGGTTAACTTTCGTAACAACCCTGCATGCCCAATGTGCTGAGGTTGGAACAATTCAGTTCAGACTGAGAGGGGGGCAAGCTTCAGTTCACAGTTTTGTATTGTCGCGTAAAGTGTATCATGGCCCACATGGTACAAGTTGGTTAGCACCCCTCTGCAGATGATATGGACGTCAACACTCTCAGCGTAGTAAGTTCATGTCATCCTTAGGGGCGGTCAGGTAGCCTAGTGGTTAAAGCGTTCGCTCGTCACGCCGAAGACCCGGGTTCGAATCCCGACATGGGTACAATGTGTGAAGCCCATTTCTGGTGTTCCCCACCGTGATATTGCTGGAATATTGCTCAAAGTGGCGTAAAACCAAACTCACTCATGTCATCCTTGGGGAAGGGGCTAACGTCTTCTTACAAATGGTTATCACCAAAGCGGTAAACATCTACAACCTGCATAACTTTTTTCCCACATTAAGGTGACATGCAATGAAATAGTGTCCAGATGATTCTCACTCACTTGCTCATACTGGCAGTGGCAGTTTATGTATTCCTCAATTTCCCGGGGGACGGTCGGGTAGCCTAGTGGTTAAAGCATTCGCTCGTCAAGCCAGAGACCCAGGTTCGATTTACCGACATGGGTACAATGTGTGAAGCCCATTTCTGGTGTCCCCCGCCGTGATATTGCTGGACTATTGCTTAAAGCAGCGTAAAACCATACTCACTCACTCACTCACTCAATAGCCAGGTTGTATACTGTTCTGCATTTATAGAGTACATGTTTATAGTTTTGATTAACCATATACTGCCCAAAATGTTGTCTCAATAGAGGAAAATATTTCTACATTGGTTAAATGTTACTGTTAGAAGATGGAACTTGTTGGTACCCTGCCTTGTGCTCGGCATTTTGGGGATGAAACAAGGAATGGTCAGCTCTTCCCAAGATCACACATCATGTATTTAGGTTTATGGACAGAGGTCCTTGTTGATGATTCACTAATTATCAGCTGCAGGTATTGTTTGGTCACACGCACAGAATATCTGTCTGAAAGGGCTGACAAAATGTTGATGGACCTCAACTGTGTTTCAGTCCTATATACTACTCAAAAGAAGTTAAAGTTAAAGAACACCTGTCCTGTCATGACGGATTAACTACAGTCATATGAAAACTCCTTTTGAGTAGTATATATAAAAACCAGTAACTAGATTTTGAAAGAAAACTGGTAATCCTTTCAGATTTATTTGTAATGGCTGTGTCTAACTGTTGACTTAGAAGAAAATGCTTGCAGTAGATCGAGTTGGTGATGTCCTCGATTTTACCAGAAATGTTGATATTTCTTCTCACGGATATCATTTCTCATGCTTCCTGTGAGATCATAGCATACAAACATGATGTGGATGTGACCAATCAAAGATTTATTATGAGATAAGGAAGTTTCACATATATATATATAAGCATTAGGCTGCGTTGACAAAACGCTATTAATAGAAACACGAAAATTTGGGGGCTATTTTTAGCAAGCAAATTCCCCAATGAGCTGTTCACTGTTTTCCTCTGGCACACAGTCATGTCGAGATCATATGATTTGTCACATGGGTAAAACATGATGTGTTGATTATAGCGTGTCATTTTCTACAAGATTCTCATTCAAGAAGACAGTGCTGAAGCATGGGTTAGTATAGACTTCACGCTCAGCTTCAACCAGGAGTTTTATTCAAACTCTAATGTTTTGTCTTAGTGACTGAGTGAGTGAGTGATTGTGGTTTAACGCCGCTTTTAGCAATATTCCCGCAATATCACGGCGGGGGACACCAGAAATTGGCTTCACACATTGTACCCATGTCGGGAATCGAACCCGGGTCTTCGGCGTGACAATCGAACGCTCTAACCACTAGGCTACCCGACCGCCTTCAGTGACTGAAGATCCTGCAATCATTTCCATTAACAAGGAACAGTAAGGACAGTTTTTCCTCTTGTATCAATGTGTTGACCACAGCCATAGGGAGAATGTGTGAGTATGGCGGTTCACTGTTTTTAATAATAATTCTGGAATATGACAGCTGGTCACACTAGAAATGGGCCCCTCTCGGGGTACCATGTTGGGAATCGAACCTGGACTTAGCTGATGAAGCGTCATATTCATGCTCGTTGGTTTCACCAAAGTGATTAACATCTAAGACCAGCATCATTTTGGACTTCCTACCACATCAAGCTGACCCGCCGTGATATAACTGGAATACCGTTCAAAGCGGTATTAAACCCAACTCACCCGCTCAAAGGGTGTATTTATTTTTTAAGCATGCTCCTCTCATGGTCCGACTGCATCTTCTGCCTGGGTTGCACTGTTTGCTTGTTTGATATTACTTCACTTTTTCCCCTCTTGTTTACAGGTATTCAGGACCAAGGGTTCGAGGAGTCGGACAGCAGTAGTGTATTCTCGTGCAATTCTCCACGGGGGCTGATCCAGCCATCTCCTACACCACTCCAACAGGAGACCCATCATGCATCACTACGCAGGAAGAAGGGTCCTCCGGTGGAACGCGGGTCGGAACCAGTTCCGGTAAACCCTGCCCTTGAGAAGAGCCAGTCCCTTCAGACAGACATCTCACAGCGCCCTCTGTCAATGGTTGTGGCCTCACAGTCCGAGGCAAATATGTCGCTTAGTCCCAGCACAGGATCTCTGAACAGACAGGTTTGTATATCCACATTTCAAATGACTTTAAAACTTGTAAGAAGTGTGTAAGAAACAAACAAAGGTCATTGGTTTGAATTGTTATCAATAATTTATTAGTGTCATTGATAGATAATGTCTTTCCTATGTATACTGCTCAAAAGAAGTTAAAGAACACCCAGGTTAATTTGCCATGGCATGACAGTTTAACTATGTAATAGGAAGTAATCGGGTAATATATATCAACATGTGCTGGCACTGATTTACTTTCTTAAGAAAGATGTAAAACACAATTTTGAAATTGAGAAAAATGAAAAATTACTATCTTAGAATTGTCATTTTGTTTAAGTTTGTGAAACAATATTGTCTACCCTATAATTAGTCTACCCAATAACATACTGTAGAACGCTTATAACATGCTCTTCCCTCAATAATTATGTCCCTTTCCTCTGGATGCCAGAAGATAGAAATAGAATGAAACACAAGACTCAAGCCCCAACAAGTTTGCAGAAAGTTTGAGGAATCTTTTTCAGTAAGAAATTAAGTGGGGTCCTTGCCACTTTTGGCGATCGATTTCAATCAAAAGGACTTCCAAAATCTGTCCTGTTTAACACCGGGACCATGACAAGGACTTGGCCTTTCTTCCTTATTGTTGAACACTGTTCAGGGCAGTGTTGTTGAAGAAAGGGTACAGGATGTTATGATCACAATGCATGTACTTGTTGGGGGAATAAAGAAACCATCTTTTTTTTATTTGAAAACACAAGTCTGTGGGTTACCACCCTTCTCTGTTGTCATATTTGATTTGTTTTTAAGACAAAAATAAGTTAATTGTAGAGAAGAAAAAAAGACTTTTTTAAATATGATACTTTTATGCCACATTTGTGAAATTATTGTCAGTGAATCTGCAAACCAAATAATTAGAAACGGCATAGAATTTTGGAAGTTTAAGTACTCAGACGCGAGTGACCCAGATTCAAGTCTTTATATCAGGAGGGTAGTGGAAACTATAACCCGCCTGGCAGTTCATACCAGGAGTATGTATATAGAGGCAGTCATCATATAGCTGTGGTAGTAGAAGGGTCCACTCACTCACTCACTCACTCACTCACTCACTCACTCACTCACTCACTCACTCACTCACTCACTCACTCACTCACTCACTCACTCACTCACTCACTCACTCACTCATCCCAGGGACATGCTCCTGTAGAGCAGACAGGTCATAGGTTCAGGTTGAGGACACTTGTGTCATGTATGATAGAGGCTTAACATGTCGTTCCAGAAATAAAGATATCTTATTTGAAAATATATCTCTACAAAATAAAAACATCCAAATAGAGCCCAGAACAATGCTTGATTTCAGCCTGGAGCTGAGGCAATCTACACCTGCCCTGTCATTCTAGACTTGGCATATCATTCTAGACTTGAGGTGAACTCCTTTTTGAATTATTCTCTGAGGTCTGGGGGACGGACTTTGTGTGAGGCTGAAGTATGCCCCAGCGTGGCTCTCATTTCCTCTCAAGAATCTAGAAAGGTTTCCAAATGAGAAAATAATCATGAAAAGTCACAAATGGGGAAAGTTTCAGTGTGTCTCAATATAGCAGCCTCCCTCCCCGTTATCAACAGCCATGATGTTGTTGTCATAAAGAAAGATAATCTTTGAAAAAAGAAAGGTTTCATTTGGGTGAAAATGCCAAGGAAAGGTCAGAATTTGATAAGTTTGTGATAGTGTGAAGTATATTCATTATGAGGCGCTGTTATTCATCAACCCATGTCAACCAGGATAAAAGCAATTTAATATTTCAATAATTGTCTTTGGTAACAGTTACTCATATAACTACTTGTTTTACTACATTACTAACTAAAGATCTATTTTATTTATAACTGAAAATGTTTTATTTTTCACAAAAGTAAAATGAATTTATACAATTTCATTTAAATTTTTTAGTATTGTTATTACAGATGCATGGATGAAGTTAAATTAAAATGCAGTTGAATTTCAAATAATGTTTTCAAAAACTAAAACTTCTGCCACATCATCTTTATTAGGGAAGACAGATACAATGTTTCGGATTGTTTCTTATTCTAGGACATTGGACTGATTGTCATCCAAAATGTCCTAAAATGTTTTTTAAATTTTGTAGAGATGTAGAAATTTTGTTGTTGAAAAGTTAAAAAATTGATATAAACATTAACATGTCATGAAGGAATAAATAACCCGATTAAAATCACTGAAACGTTTCAAAAACTACAAAATGTTTCCTCAGTTAGCAGTGAATCTACATATCTAAAATTGTTTGAAATCCACAAACATTGTTTAATAAGCAGATTATCATAACACATACAGATGCCGGTAATAACCAGCCTTATGGCCATCTGCCCTGTGGTCAGGGATGAAAGGGTTAACTATGTAGGCAATTCTTCATGCATTTCCTGGTGTCAGTCTCACCTGTCAGTCACTGGACAGGGGTCAGCTGATGGTGTACATGTAGCTAGTGGCAAATCTGGGCTATGGAGGAGAATGAGTTTTCTGTATGATGACAACGGAAATGTGGAGTTTGAGGTACAGTTTGAATTTAATTTAAGTCATTTTGGGGGATAATGCAGAGCTTTTGATAAGCTTTTGGTTACTTGGGTATTTTACCCAGTGGTTTGATTTTTATTGGGTATCCACAATGTTTGGAGGGTATTCAAATATTATTTACCCACCTGTTTCTTGACGTTTGTTTTTTTTTAACTTAAAACCTGTTTCGTAACAATCCCCTTAAACCATTTAAAACTACATGAATAGTAGTATACCCGTCTGCGTCTGCTTGCAGCTCCCTTCCCGGGGAGCCATTTTTGTTTGCAAAATTTTGCATCGTAAGAAAGGCAGTATTTTTTTAATCACCAATCAGCGACTGTTTAAGATACAACATGCCAATGACTGGGTACAAAGTGCTTTTCAATTGGCATGTATCAGTATGGTTGTCGCACAAACTTTTCCAAATGTTACCGTCGGTGAGTGAATTTTGCGATCGGCTGATACACAATCATGTTATCTAACATTTGTAATGTATCGTTTTATCTAAATGTTGTAATATACGCATTAATTAAATGTCAATAGTGTATTTATAGTTTCTACTGCGTGTTTGATACGCTAGGATTTTATTTGTCTGCGTATTTCAATTTATTTAATGCATATTTTACACAAATACGCAGCTCTCGTATCTATATTTCTGTATTTGTCAGTGTTGAAGTTACGCAGGTAAATCATAGCTCTAATGTTAAAAGGTAAAGATTTAGGGGTCCCTTACTCCTGCACCATGACCATGGAATATTTTTATTTTATGAAAAAAAAATAATCTAGAAATGCATACAAAAGCAAGTCTAGCCAGCCCTAGCTAGCTATTTTCCAGCATAAGGGACTTTTTTTTTTTAGGGTCAAGAAGGATATTGTGTAATATAAAATTTCAGAGACTAAATGTTAGTCTGGGGGTCCTCAGTGCAAGTAATACAGGAGCACACAACAAGGACCCCACGACCCTACTTAATATCTAACACTCTTTGTAATCTGTGCTTAATCTTAGTTTACCCTTAATAGTCTGTGGTTATTATTTCAAAGTAAATTTTCTTATGCATGGAGGGTCTATTTCTGTAGGAATACAAATTCACTGTGTCGACGTTTGGACATCAGGATTTTGAAGCACATTTTAATATTTCTTTTAAGTCATTTCAAGGTAATCTCTGCTTATTTTGTAAGTCAGGGGGTAATATTTCAACTTGATTTTCCCATGTACATAGGGTCTCCTTTGCTGATAGTACTGTATGTTGACATTTGAAGAAAGCCTTTTAACATATACATTTTGGAATTAGTTTAGTTCATTTCAAGATGTGTTTTTAGAGGCTAGAAAATTCAATAGACATAAATAGTGTTATTCAGACTTTTTCATAGTGTCAACAATAATTTTTAAAAAGGCATTTTATTCAGATACAGGCAACAGTTTTATGTTTGAAAAAAAGAGTTTGAAAAAATAAGTACCATATTTTCTTGAGTATAGTACACACTTTTTTCAGAAAATACTGCTGTGTAGAGGGGTGTGCACATAATACATACTGACAGCTCTTTTATTCCATAGATATACAAATTCTAAAGTGCACATCACAACAAAGTTCAGAGCAGCATTTTGGATGACAAATATAGCTTCAAACTAGCATCTGACCAAATCATGATAAACTATGCTGAGTAAGGGCCATGATGATGAGATCACCAGCCCTCACTATGATTTAGCAGGATGAAAATCCTGACTAGTCACTTAACATGAATCATGGCAAAGTTTGGTGTTGCTCTTGATGGCGAAAATATTAATTATAGACAATTGTGATACAGTTTGACTGTATGATAATGACTATGCTCTTTAGGGGCTGGATTGATGGTTTCACCAGCCCTGATAATGAATATGTATTACTAATAGCTGTAAATAGTACTAATTTCTGTACAGAGTGACAAATCACCAGTATAATCGCCTCACATTAAATATGATTTCCTCAGTAACTTTTATGTTTGTTGTTTGAGTGTATTTGAACTTTGCACTATATTTATGGCTGAAACTATTTTTACATACTGGTCGACACATGTCTACATCACTGACCTGTCCCTACAAATAGTGCTGTGTTGTATTGCTTGTCAGTGGCAAAAGTAACAAGGGGACCAGTCATTGTGTGGATGTGGACAGAGCTTCAGGGGAGGGGACCTGTAAGTCATTGTGTGGATGTGGACAGAGATCTTCAGGGGAGGGGACCAGTCATTGTGCAGATGTGGACAGAGATCTTCAGGGGAGGGGACCAGTCATTGTATAGATGTGGACAGAGATCTTCAGGGGATGGGACTAGTCATTGTACAGATGTGGACAGAGATCTTCAGGGAATGGGACTAGTCATTGTACAGATGTGGACAGAGATCTTCAGGGGATGGGACCAGTCATTGTACAGATGTGGACAGAGATCTTCAGGGGATGGGACTAGTCATTGTACAGATGTGGACAGAGATCTTCAGGGGAGGGGACCAGTCATTGTACAGATGTGGACAGAAATCTTCAGGGGAGAGCCACTATGGGGAGGATCACGCAAATAATGCAAATGTTTGCAAAGTTGAACAGGGATAGAATCTAACTGTTTTAATCTACTAGTCCTTATGTTGAGAACATTTAGCAAAACCCTTCAAAATGGCAAATTTCTACTAGTCCTGATGATACGTTAACTATTGGAAATTTTCACAAGGACTACAGGACTAGTGCCAATTCAGACTTCACATAAGAGATAGAGTTCAGTGGAATGTAGAACAGTGTCGATAACATTTCAAATTTATGGGCAACAGGATAACCTATTTACATTGGCTTTTCACTTATTGAAAGCCTGCGAATAATCAATTATTTGTAAAAGAAGTGTATTAATCCTACATAATGAACATCAATAATGACCTACTCCTCATTCACAGTGAAATGGCACACCTGTTGCCTGTGACAACATAATAACATTTCCTGCTTGTAATCTCTTTGTCCTGTAGATAGGATCGCAAGTTTGTTCCTGTCATTGCATAGTAAATATATTTTCACCACAATATTACATGTTGACTGAAAAATATTTTTTCTTGCCTTTAATCTGTCAGTTGAAAAAGGGTTTTGTGTGAAAAATAGATTCCTTGTGGTGAGTTTGGAAAATAGACATTTTCTTACTTAAAGGATTACTTAAAATGCTTTGCTGCAGAATGCCATATTTGTTCAGATTTTGTTTGCAATGAAAGTAGATGTTTAAACACAGACAGCAGCTGTCATTGACTCACATTTTGTCCGAGAAATAAAGTGATCTTATTTAAAGATATATGTCGACAAAATCCAAATGCTAATGCCTGGAACAATGCTGAATTTCTAGAGTTGAGGCAGTCTAGACTTGCTAGATCATTCTAGACTTGAGTTGGATTCAATTTTAACTTATTTTCTTGGAGACAGATTACAGTTTCCCAAACAAGTTTCAGATGTAGCCATCGGTTTTAACAGATTCTTCATTTTGAAACTTTTTTTTTCTTCATAGTTTTGAGCAGTTTTGTAATAGTTAGGGGCGGTCGGGTAGCCTAGTGGTTAAAGCGATCGCTTGTTAAGCCGAAGACCCGGGCTCGATTCCTGACATGGGTACAATGTGTGAAGTCCATTTCTAGTGTCCTCCACCGTGATATTGCTGGAATATTGCTAAAAGCGGTGTAAAAGCGTACTCACTCACACTTGTAATAGCTGTTCTTACTAGGAAAAGGTTTAAGATTTCAGTTTTCAGTCCGATCATCACCTTTCTACCATTGCATAGTTATCCTGTGTTGTGGTGTGCAGCTGCTAATCCCTCCCTGCTTACCTCCCCTGCTAACCAACTAATCTGTCCCTCGTAGAACCGCCCAGGCACGGTGCCACCGTCAGGCTCTGGCAGTAGTCTGTCTCATTCCCAGAAACTTCCATCGGAGAGTGACATCGAGAACTACGCCCCACACCTCAACCGACACAAGAAGGGACTGTTTGGGAAGAAAGTGCCTCTCACCAACATGCTCGTCTGGTCAAAGGTAATCAGTTGGAACTCTTACATGTCACATTATCATGTTTCACGTTGTGTTATTCTGACAAATTGGGGGATCTGGGTAGAACTGGTCCAGCAACCCATGCCTTTCATAAGCCGCATCTGCATGGATCTGGTATCAGACTCAGGAGCTTGGTCGGTTGCATGTCTTCATACCCTGTTTGTTTGGGACATGCTCATAATATCAATCACTGGATTGTCTGGTGAAGCTCAATTATTAACAGATAGGCATCATATAGCTGAAATATTGCTAATGGTGACATTAAAAAACAAACAAACAACATAATGTTCCTGGAGTCATTTATTGCCTCCCAGATGTTGCCTTCTCGGATTGCACCTTCCTGAACCAACTTATTCATCAGGCCAAGTTGTGTATTGTATGTTTCTATATAACGCCAAGTTATGGTAATGCCTGCCATTGTGAAAACTTCATTGGCATTATGGGGCCACGGTTGGCCCAGTCATCTAAGGTGCCGCTATTCGCTGTGCAGAGTTGCGTCCCTTTGACGCGTCAGAAACCTATGATTGTGGGTTCAAATCCTGGTTCATCCTGATTATGTTTCTAGGTTTGTCAGCACCATACCGGTGCTCGTGGGTTTCACCGTGGTAAACATCTGAGACCTGCATCACTTCGGGCCTTCCTCCCACATCAAGCTGACACGTCGTGATATAACTGGAATACTGTTAAAAGCGGCGTTAAACCCAACTCACTCACTCACTCACTCACTCACTCATTGGCACTATACCTACATTGGAGTGTGTCTGTCACAGGCAAAACCTGATGCAAAATGTGTTTATAGTTGTGGCTTGTAATGTTATTGACTTTCTGCAAATGAAATGGATACAAAATGTCTCCCAATGACTACTCTATAATGTAATTTATTTCTTCTGAGAGTTTCATGGGCTTCTGTCCTGCTTCACACTGAAGCACATGTACACATGTGGTGTCTCCTTAGGCAATGTGCCTCTGTTGATCCAGCAGTGAATGGGTACCCGGTAGGTTAACCTTCTAGCGCCTCACAGGCAGCTTGGGTTATATACTCCCCAGGGAGCTGAGAATGAAAATCCGGTGCACACTGATCCATTGACGGGGGTAATAATAGTGTATTGTTATGAGCATCCACTAAGTGAATGGAATTTGGCACATTATGAATGCCCATTATCATCATCATCATCATCATCATCATCATCATCATCATCATTATTATTATTATTATTCATGTGTGTTTCAGCCTGTGTATATGTGTTTCAGGACCTTATACAGAAGCCCATGTTGAGGACCAATGATAAGAACATGAAGAAGGAAGCATGTGATGTCTTCAAATATATCCTTGTGAGTTGAACCCTGGTCATGCACCTCAGTGCAACTGCCTGTTGCTTCACATCAGGCTCATGAATATTGTCTTCTTTGTTGTTGTTTAAGCATATTTTGTTCTCATTCAAAAGATTGGGGACACATTACCACTACTTAGAACACCCTCTCCCATAGATTGACATGTAAGCTTATTTACAATTAATACATTAAATGACAGAAAGGAAAGAAAAGAAATAGAGACACGTATGTACGTTCACAGTGCTCACTCAAACCTTTCTGTTGTCTATATGTATGTACATTCCTAAAACTGTTTCGTTCATGAATATTGTTAGGGGGTAAACCCTTGCACTGCATCCCCTGACACTTGTTATTGTTAGAGTAAATATCCGTTACCAATGCTGTAATTATGGGCCATACACCAGTGTGGTGTAAAAAATACTTCTACCATTTTTTGTAATTACATGGTTTACAGTTTGCAAAAAATAAAATAGTGTGGTATGATTGATTATCAAAATGAAGCTAAAAGGGAACAACTTGTCTTATTTTGTTTGATCTTATTAACAAAAATAATGTCGATTGGTTACTTCCCTTTCATATGTTTCTCATTTGAAGGTATTTCTTGGTACTTTAATTAGTTTTCCAAAAAGAAATTTGAACTTTTTATTTTTATTTTTATTTTTGTACTCAATTTGAATTAAAGATTGTTTTGTTTTTATCTGTAAACAAATATTCAAATGAAAATCCCTTAATGTCTTGTTTCACTCAGTTTTTGAAGATGCATGGGAATTAATTCCTCAAAACAGACCTTCTCAGGCCATAATCCTACAGTTAGCCTTTGTTGTCGGAACACGCAATGGTCATAAGTTGTTAGTCTCTCCCAGAAACACCCTGTCTCCTACATGCTGCTGGTGGTCTATGCTTCCAACACTGTTAGACCCGAGAAGATTCCGGGGTAGAATAGGTCTTCAGCAACCCATGCTTGTCGTAAAAGGTGACTATGCTTGTCGTAAAAGGCGACTAACGGGATCGGGTGGTCAGACTCGCTGACTTGGTTGATGCATGTCATCGATCCCAATTGCGTGGATCGGTGCTCATGATATCAATCACTGGATTGTCTGGTCCAGACTCGATTATTTACAGACCGCCATCATATAGCTGGAATATGCTGAGTGCGGCGTTAAACAACAAACCAACCAACCAAATCCAACACTGTTAGGATTACCATAGGAGCTCAAACTACAGGGCTTCAAACCAGGAATTGAAAACCAGAATTGTCTTATCAAAATTTAGTTTTATCAGCAATGTTGCAGTGGGTTTGCTTTGGTTTGAGCTTACCAAGTTTTACCTTGACCTACAAAACTAGGGGTCCAGATGACCCCCAATAATTAATTTCAAGGGTCCTTACCTGAAGTATGAGGGTCCTGTCATGTTATGAAATGGTGTAGGGTACTGTTTTGTAAAATTTGATGATTACTTTCATTATAGGACCTGTTTATTGCTTGTCAAAAATATGGTACAATGAATATTATTGTGCTTCCCTAGACGCAATATTTTTTTTCTTCTGCGGCCATTCTATACATTTGTGAGTACTGGATGCACATTTCTGTGTTGTGTAAAACACAGCTTATTTCACACTGATCTAATTTCCTGAATCCAGGAAAACCTGCTCCAGCCAAAGTGTAGGTGAATCTGTGATGGCTTGATATTTTGGAAAGTCAATTCACATGGAAATATTAATGACGAAAATGACGTTGGATAAAGGCATTATGATCTGTTTGAGTCCTTAACAAGTTTACATATCCAGATGTACATGGGAGATCGCAAGACAAAACAGGCCCCGATGAGCGTGGCCTTGGACATCATAACTAAAGGGTGGAGTATCCCCCAGCTGAGAGACGAGATCTACATCCAGCTGTGTCGCCAGACTACAGAGAACAAAAAAGAGTGAGTAAGAATTACACGATAACATGCCATGGGATTATTACACTTCTGAGTGAGTGAGTGAGTTGTGTTTAATGCCGTTTTTAACAGTATTCCAGTTATATCACGGCGTGTCAGCTTAATGTGGGATGAAAGCCCGTATTGATGGAGGTCTCAGACATTTACCACTTCGGTTAAACCCACGAGCATGGGTATGGTGCTGACAAACCTAGAAACATGATCCCGGCGAACCGGGTCACGAACCCACGATCATAAGTTTCCGGCGCGCGGAAGGGACGCAACTCTGCACAGCAAATTGCGGCGCTGTAGACGGCTGGGCCACCCGTGCCCCCTATAACACTTCTGAGTAAATAATGTGTTAGCATCCCCTCCATTGAGCATTAAAAGTCAATATCACCTTTGAGGAGGACACTATCCTATACTGATACCACTAGGTTATGTCTATAAGACCGAGGTTGGACAATATGATTCAGACGAGGGAAACAACTTCACGGTTCTGCATCCTCCCTTACAAACCTCCAGTGACGTCATCCTATTGTTCTCCAGTTGGGTTAAATCTCATAAACAGGGATGTTGTAATATCCCGGGGATTTTATTAATACACCTTCCATTAAGATTGTAACATGATACTCGCTAGAAATTTATTTCGCATTTGAAAACAATGTTATTAAATATAAAATCAAATGACAAATGTTTTCTTTATGTTTCCCATGAATCGAACATGCAACCTATGTACCATTTGGCTAAAGACACACGGATAAATCACAATGCTTTTAAGAATGTCTTTTTCAATAACATATGCTTTTCAAATACCCATCAATGAAATTAGACTTACCTCCCTTGGTGCATCGCCTGCTCAACTAGCTTTCCTGTGTCAATGTGTTCCTAGCAAGGTGAACATGTCTTTACTGACATACACAGAATTTAGAGATGTTTGTTAATGGATACATTATACAATTTGATGTTATACTATATGATAACAAGGTTATTATACGTCAGTTGTCATAGCATACCCCATATCAACCGGAAACCCCCATACAATCCCGAGGGCCAAAGCTAAATAAGCTCTGATAAAACTAAATTGTTTTTTTGTCGAAACAACATAGATACATTTGGAACGAACCTGTCCTTAACCAACAGAGCAGCCAGGGCTGTGTAAGCTGTTCAACTATTTTGTAATTCTGTTGTAACATCTCAAATCACTTGAGAGTCAGAAAGTAATACCGTATTTGACGTAATAAGCGCCCCGCTCTAATAAGCGCCCGCGGCGATATTTGCTAATTATATTGGGTAGTGAACAATCTCAATTATTAGCACCCCTTCCGATTGATCAATGTAAGACTTGTGTGTAATATGCATCCTTAATTATTGGCAATTAAATCCTGGAAAAATATATCTGTCGTATATAAACATTTCAGGCTGTCAGCATAAACCACGAAATTTACAATCTTTCAACTGTTTTTTTCCTCCAAAATATTATTTTAATAAGAGCCCCCTATTTCAAATTTTGAGAGCGCCCTGGGCGCTTATTACGTCGAATGCGGGATATTGTTGTACGAGGCCTGTGTTGATGTGTACTTGTGTTTCAGGGAGAGTCTGCAGCGTGGCTGGGAGCTGATGGCGGTGTGTCTCAATTTCTTCCCTCCAACACACAAGTTCTACTCTTACCTGGAGGGCTATATTTCCAAACATATGGACCAGATATTTGATATGCCAAATGTAAGCAGTTGTAGCGTATATATTTTGGTTTCTATTCCAGGAATAATGATTGTTCACCAGCCTTGATATGAAAATATATGTGATTTTGATTTTGTGATCCTGTTTTGTTATCTAAGGGAGGTAATTTGTGACATAACCTGAGCGTGATCTACGATTAAAACATTCCTGGCATTGAGGTTAGGGTGAACTCAAATCATCAATTGTTATCTTAAAACTACATAATTACGTTGGATGGCCGGGAAGCCTCGTGGTAAAAACGTTCGCTCGTCACGCACGCCGAAGACCCAGGTTTGATTCCCGACATGGGTACAATGTATGAAGCCCATTTCTGGTGTCCCCCGCCGTGATATCGCTGGAATATTGCTTAAAGCGGCGTAAAATCAAACTCACTCACTCACATAATTATGTGATATGACCAAAATGTTTTTTCTTTTCTTTTTAAGATATTTTATGGCTACCTACATTATCAATATTTTATTAAAGCAGACTGCGTTGTAGTGGATAGGTTAGAGCTCTTGGACCTGAATGTCTATTTGTTGAAAGCTGAATCTGAGAGATTGACTCTGTGGTGTAGTGAACAGAGAGCTCACTCTGAGAATGGAGGGTCGATGGTTCTGTCACCCCTGTTCTTGTTATTACGTTTGATTGTTACGCCGAAGACCTGGGTTCGATTCCTGACATGGGTACAATGTGTGAAGCCCCGCCGTGATATTGCTGGAATATTGCTAAAAGCGGCATAAAACCCTACTCACTCACTCACTCTTGTTATTACCCGACCTGACACTTGTGATTAAGGTCATAAAGCAAGGAATGGCTGGCTTGGAGTCAGTGTTCTGTGTCTGAGTTTGCTAAACTTCTACTTGGTAGCGCACAAACACTTTGCAATAATCTTAACACGATGTAAACCCCATGTCATCTGACCTCACTTTGAGTCTGAGAAATGCAACACAAAATGTGCATCTAATTACTCTTGTCAACCTAAATGATGAAAAACAGTTCTGACATTGCCAAGGAGTCTCTTACCATTGGGAAGATTAATTCGAGTAAAAGACTGTGGTTCCATGGTGTTTGTATGTATTTCTTCTTGATTCCAGGTGCCAATCAGTCACTTTGCTAATCACTGCTACCAAAGACTAGAGCGAGCTCTGGCAACTGGCGCCAAGAAGGGGGTCCGAAAACCAACACTAGATGAGGTGGAACAAGCTAAGGTAAGATTTACTTGTATGTAAAATGTATGTAGGCAAAACATTAAGCATTAGACCCTTTGGGAAGATTGAGAGTATTTTGAGGTAATCATCCAAATTGCCATGGTTTCAATGAATTATTGTGTCCAGTTATTTTGGGGTAGTCCATATTTAAGCAAAATGTTTAACAAGAGGATTGTCTCCCTTAGCTGATGAGAATCTGCTGATTATAGGATTAGATCCCAGATTCCAAGGCTGATCCATTAAATGTTTAGATTGAATTTTCTGCCTTTTTATTGCCAATATTAACCATGGTAATCTTTATTAATGTAAACGTTTCTTTGGCTGTGTATTATTAATTTAGTGTGTATATTTATAAATTTGTATGGATACAGGATTGACATTCAAAATTTATCGATATCGAGATATATACGAGGACATCCCTACTGTTACCCTTAGGCTTCACAGACCAAATGTAATTTCACCTGACTCCGGCTTCTATCTCATGGATGAGGTCACACCTTCACTGAAACTATGAAACTAGCGGTACCTTTTCTGACCCGTGAAGATCCGGCTTAGAATAGATCTTCGGCAACCCACGCTTGTTGTAAGAGGCGACTAACGGGATCGTGTGGTCATAGTCCAGCGTTAGAAATTGGCACTAGTCCTGTAGTCCTTACCAAACTGTAAGTAAAGGTATCCTAAGGACTAGTAGAAATTGGCCCATTTTAAGGGTTTTGCTATATGTTATCATTGTAAGGACTAGTGGACAAAAACTGTTAGTTTCTAACCCTGGAGTCGAAGACTTGGTTGATGAATGTCATCTTATCCCAGTTGTGTAGACTTGATTATTTACAGGAATATAGCAGCGTTAAACAACAAACAAACTAATGAATCTTTATCCAACACTGTCCATTTCCAGAAATCCATCTTCCACCCATCTATGTTCGGAAGCCCCCTTGATGATGTACTGCTGATGCAAAAGGATCGTTATTCTGAAAGGACGTTGCCATGGATACAGACTATCCTTTCGGAAGAAGTTCTACGACTCAATGGTGCTCAGACTGAGGGCATTTTCAGGTAGCTGTCTTCTCAAATGTTGACATTTGTTTGTGCATGGCAAAGTTGTTTACATATTTTTACTAGACACGGGCATCGGACTTGTGGCTTAAGTCACCGACTGCCATGCATGTATATGCACTGCCCCCAGAAACATAAATACTTCATGTTGTTATTGGTTTATATACTAATCAAAGGAAGTTAGGACCACCTAATTCTTTCACATTAGCTGTGAGTGAGTATGTTATCAGACGCTTTTGGCAATATTCCAGCAACATCAACTGCCTGCTGAAACAACCAGTGAAGATCCGGGGTAGAATAGGTCTTCAGTAACCCATGCTTTCTGTAAAAGGCAACTATGCATTGTCATAAGAGGCTTGATCGGGTGGTCAGGCTCGCCGACATGGTTGATGCATGTAATCGTATCCAAATTGTGCTGATCGATGCTTATGTTGTCAATCACTGGCCTGTCTGGTCCAGACTCGATTATTTACAGACCACAGTCATATAGCTGGAATATTGCTGAGTGCGGCCTTAAACAACAAACAAAACGAACCTTATGAAACTCTTAAAATAGGCTCTTTCTATACCATTTCTGACTTTTCCCATCTCAGAGTGCCCGGTGATATTGATGAGGTGAATGCGTTGAAGATTCGCTGTGACCAGTGGATTCCCCCATCGGACTGCCCCGACCCCCATGTGCCGGCCTCCCTGCTCAAGCTGTGGTACCGAGAGCTGTACGAACCTCTCATACCCTCCCACTTCTACGAGGACTGCGTCGTCAATTACTCCAACCCTGAGGCGGCCATCTCCGTGGTGAACCAGCTTCCCCACATCAACCGCCTTGTTCTCTGTTATCTCATTAGGTTTCTCCAGGTCAGTGAGAGAATAGTCCACCTCCTAGAATTTTGAGTAAATGCTTTCAAAAGGCATGTAGTGATAGTTTGTTTTGGTGACATAAGTCTGTCTGTGATGATCTCAAACCAATCTTTTATTTGATTAATCACCATCAGTTTAGAGTTACCTCCCTTCTTCCTCAGTAAAAATCTGTTCTTTGTGGTAAGAGGTAAAGGTATATATAACTGATGTTGAGAATGGTCGACCTCGTGGAATTTTGAATGATCACCATCAGCTTAGAGTTACCTCCCTTCCTGTTCAGTTAAACTCTCTTCTTTGTGGAAGAGGCAAAGTTATCTAATTGATGTATGATAACATGGCAAATAAGTTCAGAGGTTTGCTTGCAAATGGCAGGACTTTGGTATGTTGTATAATGGGATTGATTTGCCTTTTAAAAACCACAATCAACCCAGTTACAATATAACTGTCAGCACCACAATGGGGCTCTCTTTGTGATAACCATGCAAAGCTAGAAATCCTTTTCAATGATCTTTCATGATTTCTCCCTGCCTAATCTTTGATATTAATACTGGTGATAATAACTGTATGCTCTGCCAAAATACTAACAAAGGGAGGTAACTCAGTTACAGAAATATTGACCAGTTTCTTCTAAAGTGTGAACCAAAGAAACTGTCTACAAATTTTATTACTTAAATTTACTAAAGGGAGAATACTCTTTTATCAGCAGCACTAAACCATTAAACAAAGATGTTTTTGTTGTTGTTGTTATATGTGTTTCTCAACATAATAAAATGTTTGCTTATATTTGATGCAATATGTTCAAAACGATTTGCACTTTTTTTTAGGTTTTTGCAGCTCCAGAGAATGCAAGTGTCACAAAAATGGACGTAAATAACTTGGCAATGGTGATGGCACCTAACTGTCTCCGCTGTGAGAGTGATGACCCTCGGATCATTTTCGAAAACACACGCAAGGAAATGGGATTCCTTCGGACACTAATCCAACATTTAGATACCAGCTTCATGGAAGGCATTGTTTGATTGAGGAGCAGAAATTAGTGTCTTTTTTTTCCTCACATGTTGTTTTCTTGAGTATTATGGAAGCTGTTGATGAATACAGCAGAAATAATCCTTCACTGTTATGAGAGTTCAGCCTTCCACGTCTTTCCAGACTCCTTTGCTGAAGAGCTCCACATTGACGTTTTCTTTATCTCCAGTGCTGAAGAGACGAATCTTCCATGCTGTTATGAAGTGTTATCCCAGTTACAACCGTGTTACGTAGTCACTGTATTTGTACATAGGGCAGAACCAACACAATGTTATGAAGGAATCGGGGCAGAACTGGATCAGCAACTCATGTTGCATTCAGACAGCTTCGGCTGTCTCACTAACTCTACCATTTGGCACATCTCTACATAAACTGTCTGTTAAATAGGCATAAAATTCAGGTCGTCATTTCTTAAAACAAGCATATATGGCTGAAAAAATAAAAGATTTGGTTCTCAGGCAATGGCTTTCGAAATATAGTGCGGTTGGGTGGTGTCCTTTGTGTTTTTTGGGGGGTGGAGTGTTTCAAATTAGTATGTAACCAAATAAACAGTTGTGCGACCAAATAAACACTTGGTTACAATCAACCTGGGGAATGGCCTCCCTACATAAATGTATTCCTTGACGAGTAAAATGCTGGAATACAGTATTTGACTACAGTTGCACTTGGAATATTTAAGGATATTTTTTAGGGTTTTTTTTAAAATGGAAATAAAAACAAAACATTCGGCAAACTTTATGGTGGTGCCTGAGAACCAAGACCATTATTTTTTTAGCATATCATAAAAATTCATATGAATACCCAAAAAAAATTGGATAAAAAAATTATGTTTATATTTTATATTTTAAAACTATTAAGTGTATATGTGTGTGGAAATTAACTGGAAACTAACTGGTATTCATTTTTGAAACATGGGAAGATGAACCAAATCTGCCCGGGGATGATCCTTCGACCATAATACCAGCTGCATAACCCAGTTGTATCACTCGTAATGACGTTGAATTATTGATGTGATCATGTTACTGTTATCATCATGAGCTTCCCTTGAAGTGAGATGCACCACCTTATACTCAAACACATAAGAAACGCAACATTTTCTTTTCGTGATAATTTTTCAATTTGCAATAGTGGTCAAATTATATTCTTCTCAGAAGAAGTTTTAGACCATTGTTTCACTCATATTTCTATGGTTAATCTGTCATGGATTGACTGATTATATAAGGTAATAGGAAAGAATCGGCTGGTCCTTAACTGCCGTGACACATGAACTATAATATTTGTGTGGTCCCTAACTTCTTTTGAGTAGTATATATCAGGTTAAAAGTGAACTTGAAAGAGGATTTTGCTGCGTATGCTTTGTAGTTGTCAGTAACACAGAGCCACAAGCCAGGTCCAGTCAATGCATTATGGAACTGTTGGGTACGCTAGTGGTTAAACTGTTGACTCAGCAAGACCCACCTACATACTGTAGGACACTGTGTGAAGCATGTTTATAGTGGCCCCTTGCTGGGAAATGACTGGCATATTGTGTAAAACCCTACTCCTTCCCCTACTCACTCCTGTATTTGGGACTGATTTTTTTGGGGGGGGACATTTTTTTGCACTTGAGTGTAGTGGTGTTCCATTAGGATGTCTGAAGTGAGTGTTGCGTTTCTAAATGTATTCTTTTAGAGCCAAGTTTTCCTGCCACAAGCAAAACAGCATACTGATAACAGCTACAACACTGGTAATCTTCAAGAAGTAAATGTTTTTGCTATCATTTTATATCAAAGTTTAGTGGCTTTGAATTTTTTTTATTGAGACTTTCTTGCATTATCGTCAAAGAATGAAATTTGTCGTTTTGTAAAGAAAATTTGAAATTACTTAAACATAAACTTAGACTGTCATGAATCATGATTTTTGTGAAATAAAATTTAATTATTTTGATTTCTTTGATATTTTTTTTAAATACATATAATATTGTAGAAATGGTCAGCAAAAGGACTTTGTTATCAGCCTATGTTTCGACAGTGACAGTTTGTCTTTAGACATGGTGTTATGTGAAATTAACATTTTGTTTCGGCCCACCCCAAAATGTTTTTGGTTTCTCCAGTTCTTGTTTGAGCAAACCCAGAGTGGATACAGAGATTTATCTGTCCTAGAATGATATAAGTATGCAAATTCAGAAATTGAGATGTACAGGAACATGTTGTAATTCCATGGAAGTGTGTTCAGAGTTACCTGCCAAAACATAGCAAATTAAAATACAAAGTGCTCTTTTTAACCTGGGAGGTTACCATGGATACCAGATTTATAGCATAGTCCTCCTTAGATGTTAATTAATCCCCTGATGAGTGGTCTCCCCTGACACACCAGGGCATATTCCAGTTGGCAAGATAAATATTGCTGATCACGTGACACAGGACAAACCATCCTTACAACAGATGCTGGAAGACCCAGCCTGAGACATCGGAACCCGTATACGTACCGCTTCTCTCCCTTTCTCCGTCAAGAACCGGCTGGAAATCGGGGGATGTAGACTCCGTATCCTTATCAAGATGCCACATGATATACACAACAATGAGTTCGACAGTAGCCATTACCGTGTCCTGTGTCACGTGATCACCAAATGGAGCGTAAAATCCAGTATTGCAAGTATTATTATCCCCGTTAAATCATTGTCTTCTGACACAAATTTTGTTCAATTTTGAAATGGGCCAATTATTTTGAACAAGGTACTGGCACGATGTACCCATCATATTGTAGTTGAGTGTCTAGTGTGTACTATACATCCTAATGTGTTATTTATTTATAAAACTGTCAATATTCAAGAAATCTATTATGGATCAAAGAGCACCGTCTGAACAAAGGATGTTTTTACAGTTACAATCAGGTCAAGGCATGGATGTGATATGCACATTTTACTTGTCAGAGTATTTAAACATTTTTAAATATTTTATCATTTACTGAAATTCTATGTTATGAAATAATCAAAGTTACATTTAACTTTTATAAAATATATCTTAACATTTTTGATCACTTTTAGATACATTGTGTATGTAAATTAGTAGAGATTCATTTGGTGTTGCAGAGCGCAGTATTTAATTCTGCTCAAGTCTACTCATCCATAACAACGGTAACCAAAACAAACAACGTCATTTTATATCTAAAGGCCAGAATTGTTTTGAGAAGTCCTGGATCATGTCTTTGTGATATGTGGAAAATTAAAACGGAAATGTTTTTTTCTTCAGTTCAAATAAACAAATTATGATTGATGTGTATTTATGTGATATGACGATTGTGTGTGTAAGTAATTGCCTTTAATACCATTTACACAAATTCCAATGTTTTCATATCTAGCAATGGATATGGATCTCCAGACAGCTGTTTCTGTTGTTTTGGATGAGTAGTCACCTGTCCAGTTTCATGTTAATTATCATAAATTATGTATAAAAAAAATAATTGTTTCCTTTAATATTTTGTAGATATTAATGAGTGTAAATTTAGATTGCGTTCTCCACTTATCTGTACAAAAATTTATCTGTGAAAATATTACATTTCATTCTCGCTGATGACGTATTCAGTGACAATATAACCAGAATGCACTGCACAATATGGACATGTTGCCTGTACGATAAAGCTTGATTTCAGAAATGAGTGACATCTGCATAATGCAATGTATGTCATTTTCATTGAAAGAAACAAGACTGAAGTATCAAGTGACCGTAAGCACCATATTAACTTGGTATATATCCAGATGCTGTTGATCAAAGTTGATGATACAACTTTGTACAATTTTTTGTAATATTATCTTTGTATGATAAACCCTCTTTGATAATGTACATAATGTATGTATATTTACATACCATGAAATGTACATTTGTAGTTTAGATAAGTTGATGTGATCAATCTCCATGATCTTGTCGTTAATTTCATGGAGAGAATGTACGTACTCTGTGTTTGTGTAGTAGATGGCGTGACTATTGTATTTATTACGTATGTATGGTTGATCGAAGGACTTGTATCAGTACAAGACAGTTAATGGACTCAGTGTTTATGTACAGTCTGTGTCATTTTAACCTTGTAATTCAGGAGGGAATATGATTTTTGTTTACTTGCACTAATAATATCATAATATGGCAATATAATCCATGAAACAAGAACTATAACTTCAAGTGTAACGACTTGCTTGGCATGTTTTAGTCCACTAACATAATGTTTGTGTTTCGTACTGTTAAATGTTACTTAAACCTATTTGTGATTGTTTGCGTCATTAGAAACCATTTTTATCTTTCATCCAAGTTGACTGCATCTATTGAATGTAAAGGTACTAATCATTTGAATTTATCAAAATAAATTGAAATATTAACAGAAATGAATAACGGTTGGTAGTTGTAGCAGATTAATCAAATGGAAACAGATTTAGAGATTTGAATTGATACAATCATTTAGAAGCACTGGATCAAAATGTAGTTATTTATTGACTGTAGAATACTGTAGCTTTATAATACACACACACACACACACACACACACAATGAACACTGGCTTGGCTTGACACTTGTATGATACTACATGGCAGACAACTTAGCTTGTCCCTATTTTTTTATTTTTTTCCCAGCTTTCAAGCTTTCTTAAGCTATATTTATTTTTAAAAATTGTTTCCGAGGCAAAACAACTTGATCTATGTCATAAATTAATCTGAAGGGTTCTAAACTTTAAGATGTCTGAAAACTGTTACACAAATACTGAAATATACTGTTTTAATTTTCTTCCCGCTCACCCGCTCCCTTCCTGGTGGATGTTGGAGATGAAAAACACATTAAAAAATATGGATGGCCTAATTTGGATTATTGAGGTTCAGATACTGGTTTGGGCCAATTTTTTTTTTTTTTTCTGACAAGCCTACTCCAATGTTGCAAACATTAAATAAATGATTTTTTTTGCTGTTAATTTGAAATGATTCTTCTTAACACCATGTTATTTGTATTTGTTCAAACTCTGATTTCAGAAGCGGTTTAGAAATTAGCCTCAGATCAACCCTGGCCAAAAACAGATTATTATTTTTGCCTCCCTGGCAATATTGACCAAGAAAATGTGTAAAATCTTGTTTTTGTTTGGCCTAACATTTTCCAAAGAATTACCTCCCTTTTACCCACAACCTGAGTGAGTAGACAGTTTTATGCCGTAGTCAGCAGTATTACCGCTACATGACGGCAACATGTAAGACATGGCGTTTCCACTGGTCAACCGGTGGTCAATAACATGAGCATGGATCCACGTGGGTATTACTGCACACAATCAGATCCATCTGAAAGCCGATCTTGTCCACCTCGTTCCAATGCTTCATAGTCAGAATTCATTGTGACCCCTCCATCCATCCTGCACATTGAAAGCTGCGTGTTGGTGACAAGCTTAGGTAACAGCCAATAGCTGATTTTTTTAAGGAATTGTTCAGCCTCCAAACACTGGAAAATCAAAATAAATGGTTTTTGCGGACCGTGTCACATGAATAATTTGGGTGTGGATGTTTGAAATTTATTTCAAAAAGTGTACAACCATCACATTGTAGTTTTCATTTTTTGGTCCAAAATCAAAGAGAACATTTTCATGTAGCAGTTCCTGAAACTTCATTAATCTATTTTTATCCTTTGGCATATTTTCATGGTCACTAACATGTTTTGATTAACACACATATCAAAGCAAACATTTGAGGGGGGGGGGTGCATGGGCACTAATTATGTCATATACTGTATAGCCAGATGTTGATTAAGTATGAGTATTCTGCATGTGAGCTTCAGATTTTAAGATTTTTTTACATGAAGTGCAAATTTCAATAATACCTTTTGTAAACTGGATTTAATTACCGTTGTATTAATGGTATCTTAGCTGCATTGCTTTTGCCAACTTTTATGGAATATTAGATGTTAAGAAAGTATATATATAGTCCAAATGAAAAGTATTAGATATTTATTTGGCATGTTGTCATGAAGCTTTAAAGCAAACAAATCAGGGATTTATTTCTTAGGAAGTGAGCTGATGTTTATTCTTCAAACATACAGGGACATGGGTGACCCAGTCATCTAAGGCGCTACAATTCGCTGTGCAGAGTTGTGTCCCTTGTGCAAGTCAAATGCCGGTTTGCCCCTATTATGTTTCTAGGTTTGTCAGCACCATACCCGTGCTCGTGGGTTTCACCAAAGTGGTAAATGTCTGAGACCTGCATCACTTCGGGCTTTCCTCCCACATAAAGCCGCGTTAATACAAACTTCAAGACATTGAACCAAATTTTATGTTACTTGTAAGGCCACACACAGTATATCTTTAGGTAAATCTTAGATGGGATTGTTGCAGTTTTTGATGATTATGTTTACCAGCATTAACCTATCCTGCATGTCCATAACCTTAGCGAGAAGGCGACTATGCTTGTCGTTAGAGGCGACTAACGGGATCGGGTGGTCAGGCTCGCTGACTTGGTTGATGCATGTCATCTTATCCCAATTACGTGGATCGTTGCTCATGACATTAATCACTCTATTGTCTGGTCCAAACTCGATTATTTACAAACCGCGGTCATATAGCTGGAATATTGCTTAGAGCGGCATTAAACAACAAACCAACCAACTTAACCTTAGTACCTATCCTGGATTCATTGATTGGACATTTGGATAAAGAATTAAATCATTAAATGTCACTTGGGAGATATTCAAATTTTATTTTACTTTGAAAGGTATTCCAACAAACAAAATATACTACTAAACTTTCCTAATCTGATATGTCAGTCTATTTAAATATACACTTGACATATTATGAAAATCTGTTGCTTGAATCATGGAAAGTTCAAAATATCCCTATCAAAAGTAGCCTGGTGTGAATTAACACGAACAAATATTTAAGACTGACATTGATTGGTTAAGGATTTCCTTTCTGGGATGGGTTTACTTCACCACAGTGATGTGTCACCAGCCTCTGTTGTAGTCCTTGTACCAGAGTTGTTTTTATTTTTATATTGCATATACATCTGTGGCCTCGTTTGTGTAACATCATTTGTCAATTTCTCGCAGCTGATCAGTTAATCACTTCTTTTTCTCAGTCTCCCAATCATGCAAGCCAGTTATGTTTTTGAAAGGAATGATGAAAGAATGACTCCTTTGGTACATGTAGTATAAGTCGGGCCATGTCATGCCATCGGCCCAGTGGTCGAAGAGTTGCGGCCCTTAGTCATTCCAGGATCTGCTGATAGGGGCACCATTGACGATTATGACACTTGGCTTCTCAGCATGATACCCTGTTTGTGAGTTTCATCCAGTTAGATGTCTAGGACCTTTGTCACTTTGGACTTGCCTCCCAAATTCAGCTGCCATGCCAATATGTCTGAAGTCCTTTCAGAGCAATATTAAATCTCACTCACTCACTCACTTGATGAATTTTTTTTTAATGTCATGTCATGAACTCCAATACGTATAAAAGTCTAATTTACTGTGGATTAATAATAAGAAAATATAAGGTTAAAAATAAACATTAAATGTTTCCTTGGGTGTCACTTAATAACCTGAGCATCAGTCATATGTCTGCCAATAAAAAATATAAAAAATCAAAATTTCCTGCATCATATGAAACATAGTCTGTTTACCATAATATAACATACTTGATAACTGACATCCTCTTGAAGAGTAAGTTTAGTGTGTGCTCTGTTGTTAGTTGGTATTCATGATAGGAAATCTTTTTTTTTTATCCTGCATCACTTTCGTTTCAATAAAAAAATATTTATTAAAAAGTCAGCTTCACATTTTTTGACTAAATTAGTAAATTCTGTAACTGAATATCATTGATCTGTAAAAACAAATGATCAATTAATTTCCTATTTCCAATCTATTAATCACTATTGAAACATACTGTATGAAGGCTGCCTTTTGTGCAAATACATATGAGGATAAGATACGTGAAGTAATTTGTATTTTTAGGATGGATGTAGGAGGGACCTGAAAACTATGGTGTAATACACCTAATAATGGTCATTTAAGTAGAATAGAAAGAAAGTAGAAAGAAATTGAAAGCATACACATACCATGAATCATAGTTTCCATTTAAACAAAAAGTAAAATAGTACTTGCATCAGTACCTAGAATCAGGAAACTTTTTTAAGTACGATCATTTTATCTTTATGAAATTTTAACAATATTTAATCTTTTTCATAAACATGCATGTCAGTTTTTAACTATTTTTGGCCACAAGTAAACTACTTCAATCTAATGTTTTACACAGTTTACAATAGATGTGGAATTTAGATCAAGGCAATATTGGTTAGTTGTGACAAGTTTTTATGACGTATAAAGAACTAGATTTCCCAGGATCTTTCACAGTAAGGATAAAGCATGTAGTTTTTATGGAAAGATGATGAGAAACAGTCTTTCCTTCAGAATTCTGTTTCATAACCTTTGGACTTTGATAAGGAATTGCAACAGACCACTATGAATTATTGTTTGTTCTTTTAAATTGTTTCAGTTAGCATGCAGAGGAAAATATTTGTCTGTTATAAATGACAAAATAATTCTTGTTGAAGACCAAAATAATTAATATTTGCTAATGGCAGATTTTAGATATGATTTTTTTAAAGTTGTCATTTATTAATATGAAACTTTTGAGAAAATACATAGATGTTCTAGACTGGTGCCATCATGATTAGATATGTTAAGACAAGTTCGTAACAAAAACCAGATCAGAAAATTATATTTTTTATTTATTTTTATCATAATAAATTCTGGGATTTCTTTTTGAGTTTTCTGAAGAACAAGTTTGATGAGATTCTGAAGAACAAATGATTGATTTGTGGTGGAGTAATAAGTTTTTTAGGTGTCATCATTTGAGTGCTTTGTCAGCATCCTCAGCAACTTGTGAGCTGAGTTTCCTGTACATGTGTCTGTATCATACAGTGTTTGTGATCTATTCAATGTATATTGTCATTCTCAGTGTACCTCTGTGCAGATTGTAAGACATCAAAGTTGTATGTAATAAAATACACAAATCTAATTATGCCTTTGTCTTTTTTAGAGGGGGATTCTCTGGCACCATTATGTCTCTAGGTCTTTCTGCACCTTACCGTGCTCGTGGGTTTCACCGAAGTGGTAAACGTCTGAGACCTGCATCACTTCGGGCTTTCTTCCCACATTAAGCTGACACGCCGTGATATAACTGGAATACTGTTAAAAGCGGCGTTAAACCCAACTCACTCACTCACTCTCTCTGGCACAATATGTTCCCATTGTCCCATGCTTGCCTTCTGTACTTCAGAAATAAAAGCGACACGATCCTAACCATATTCCTATGAAAATCTGTGCTGAATACAGAATTGATTATATAACGACTATATCACGATCATGTGTTAATGAATCACTATGAAATAGTGATGATACCAGGTTTTGGTGAGGCGAGTGTATCCTGCCCCACCGGTGGCACCCATCATAAACACATGCAAAGGCAAGTAAATTGCTCCCCTGGGAACATTGATTTGCTATAATGTATGACCTGGTTCTTTGTTTATGGTTATACCTCGGGGCCTTGATTGTTGCTCATAATGTCAACCACTGGTTTCTCAGATCCAGACTGGATTTCTGGTTGCTGTGACAAAGCTGAAATTTTGCTGACCACCACATTTCCTGTTACTATTGGAGACTTTTTATATTTGACAGGATTTGTTTCCTTGTTTGTTATGTAGATTTCCCTGCTTGTCACCCTTGTGACTTAAAATATTTACCCAAAAATTTTGGATTTGAAAAAAATATGATTTTGCTAAATTTGGTATTTTAAGAAAATGCGTATTTATATTGCAAGTCAGACCTGCGAAATAATATCATATTATAATCACTATATGTCCAATAGAGCACAACTTTTTAACCATGAAAAACATGTCAAATAGGGCACATATTTATGAATGGGACGGTAGGATAGCCTTGTGGTTAAAGTGTTTGCTGTCCATGCCGAAGACCCGGGTTCGATTCCCCACATGGGTACAACGTGTGAAGCCCATTTCTGGTACACAGTAAAATGCAGATTGGTCAGAAATAGGACACACTGTCTTACATTAGCACACAATAGATTGTCTGGTCCAGACTCGATTATTTACAGACCGCCGTCATATAGCTGGAATATTGCTGAGTGCGGCGTTAAACAACAAACCAACCAACACAATAGAAACAGGGGACACCAGACCCAATAGACTCCCTTTCTATAGGCAAGACGCACCCATTACCCATTAAGAAAGAATGTTCCAGACAGGTGCAAGACATGTTTGAAGCCAATATCATTCAGCCCAGTTCTTCTGAATGGCACTCTCCCATTGTCATGGTTAAAAAACGTGATAGCTCTTACCGCTTTGCCGTAGATCACAGTTGCCTCAATGCATTTTCCCCTCTACCACCTCTGCCAACATTTTTAGTGTGCTTGACTGTGCTTGTGTCAAATACCATTTCATCCATGATGCAAAAAAAGTCGGCAGAAATTACACCCGATGGTGTTTTTGGATGGAATCGCCTCCCTTTCCGAAAATGCTCCAATGGCATTTCTGAAAAAAACATTTCAGAGTCAATAAAGAAATGAATTGGCGTTACATACTAATATATGTAGCTGACGTAATATTTTCTAAAACGGTTTTGGAACACTTGAATCAAGGCTCGCTTACTTGGTTGATGCATGTCACCGATCCCGATTTCGTGGATCGATGTTCATGATATCAATCACTGGATTGTCTGGTCCAGACTGATTATTTACAGTCCGCCGTCATATAACTGTAAAATTGTTGAGTACGGCGTTAAACAACACACCAACCAACCAAGGCAGTATTCCTAAAGATCAAAGAAGCAGGAATCACTCTAAAACCAAGCAAATGTAAACTTTCGACAAAACAAGTCACCTACTTCGGGCATATCTTCAGCTAAGATGGCGTCCAGGTTCCAAGTAAGGGTATATGATACTTAATGGTCATTTCCCATCACAGTCAACAACTGTTATTGCCTCTTGAAACTGAAGATTTGAAACGATGATACTGTCTCTCATGACTATGTCTGTCTGTCTGTCTGTCAAAGAAAATGGCTTTCTCCTCACGAAATAGTCTGTATTGATGAGGATGGCCACATTGTGGTCGAGACTTTTTATTGAGGCTGAGTTATTTCTTTTACATGCAGATGGAGGCTGAGATTTTTATTTACACAAATTTATGAGCTGTGTTTTTCTCACTACACAGTTTACCATAAAGATCTCCAACGACAGTCGCGTTTCAAAAATGATTTTCTTTAAACTGATTTGTGGAGGGTCCCGTTTTGAATGGACATCCCTCGATTAAAATGCGTTCGCTCGTCACGCCGAAGACCCGGGTTCGATTCCCGACATGGGTACAATGTGTGAAGCCCATTTCTGGCGTCCCCTGCCGTGATATTGCTGGAATAATGCTAAAAGCGACGTAAAACCCCACTCACTCACTCACTCACGATTAAAATGCTTCACCGTGAACAGCCTGCTTTGCAGCAAAAAGACAGCATAGATACTATTGCTATAATAACAACATATAGTTATAACATGCCCGCTCTCATGAAACCTTTTTCTCAACATCTGTACAATTTCAACATGTATTTACTGAAACACAAGAAAAGACAAAACCGTCTAGGTATGAAAACTGCATAGTTGCGTACAGGAAAGTTGGCCGATGATAGGCGTAAAGCTTGCTGCGCATATCAACAACGAAACCTGATTAATTCGTGGCAAGTACGCCATCAAACTAGCAAAGAAACGTGACTAGCAGAGTCTTTCCGGATCTGACTACTTGCGGTTGTTTTGGTTATTTGGAGAAAAAAATCAGCGTCGACTCCCGTATTGTTATAGATGTAAACGGATGCTGTGGTGAGGACACGCATTTGTGTAGGCAACTGTTTGTTTATGATGTGGGATGAAGACACATACAGGTCAGGTCCTGATAGTTGATTATGTTAACATCTTCACCCATTGTGTGGGCTGACAGTAAGCAGTTTTAGGGACTGCTATAAATTGCGTATGATTAAGCAAAATGTATCTCCGTTCATATAGATGGAATTTGTACGTACGTGATGTCCGCCTTCACAGGAAAGTACTGTCGGAAATGATAGAATGCTTTGAGTCATTTGAAAAATGACAGGTTTTTTTCACGGAGTGCTGCTATTGTGGTTTGAAGTATTTCAGTCACAAGGAGCCCCGTCGACAATTTTACAGGAGACAAATTCGAACGAAAACAGCAAATTCAGATTTTTAATGTAGAATTGGGGAGAAAATTAAAGACACAATGCATGTTTCCCGAGCTCCATCAATTATTGCTCTCCACGAGATGGGATGTTGATAAACTGCACGTGGCGATGACCGAGATGTTCCATCCTGTCTATGAGGTCACATGATCTCCGCACCATTCATGACTATCGCAGCATCCATACCCTTTACCTTGCTGAAACCTGGGTAAATAAGAATCATTCCACTGGCTACCGTCAGATGGACGAAAAACAACCCTGGTATCATTAGGTGCAGGTAATCGTGAACCCGTGATCTATAGCTTAATGATGTCTAGGTTTCGAGTGAGTGAGTGAGTGAGTTGGGTTTAACGCCACTTTTAACAGTATTCCAGTTATATTGGGGCGTGTCAGCTTATTGTGGGATGAAAGCCCGAAGTGATGCAGGTCTAAGACGTTTACCACTTTGGTGAAACCCACGAGCACGTGTATGGTGCTGACAAACCTAGAAACATAATTGGGGCGAACCGGGATTCGAACCCATAATCAAAGATTGCTAGCGTGCCCAAGGGACGCAACTCTGCACAGCGAATCGCGGCGCCTTAGACGACTGGGCCACCCGTGCCCCGTCCAGGTTTCGAGGCGAACAAGAAATGAAATGAAATGAATGGTGATGTGTTCTCAGACTGATTGGAACATCAGCTACTACTCAATCTTAACAACCCAGTGTCATTGTCATGGATAACGCCAGTTATCATAGCGTCTGGGAAGCAGATACTGTCCCGCCATCCATGAGTAGCGACATTTGCCGGACTATATGACATCTTGCAATGTCGACTTTTGACCATCTGAAACGATTGGTTGGTTGGTTTGTTGTTTAACGCAACAATATCACAGCTATATGACGGCGGTCTGTAAATAATCGAGTCTGGACCAGACACTCCAGTGATCGATATCATGAGCATCGATCCACGAAATTGAGATCGATGACATGCATCAACCAAGTCAGCGAGCCTGACCACCCGATCCCGTAAATCGCCTCTTACGACAACCACAGCATGGGTTGCTGAAGACCTTTACTTCCCCGGGTCTTCACGGGTATCCTATTTCAGATCTGTTTAACACATGGAGCCTGAATACACAAATAGCCTGAATACCAAACCAGTAAACTACTAGACAGAGTTCCTGGCGGCACAACACGATCACGTTGTCTTACGTACGCCAGTCAGGCATTGTAATCTCAACCCTATTGAGCTAATCTTTGCTAACTGTGAAGGGTTCGTGCCAAGACATGACAAAACATTCAAACCCACACATGTCAAAGAGTTGATCAACGCAGCCTTTGCTCGAATCTCACTAGAGGTATGGCAAAAGGCTTAAGATCGCGTTTTGAAATAGAACGTCCGTTCAGACAACATGACCGCTTAGATATCAACCTTGTTGCAGTAGTTATCATACATTTGGATGATATTACAGAAACAGACATGTCATCAGCTGAGTCACATACTGGCAACAGAAAACACCAGAAGAGCAACAAATACTCCTTGATTAAAAAACCCGTACCTTCCAATATTCTCCCTTTTCATGGCTTTGACTATTCCTTCATCTTTTGAAACAAATATATTGCAGATCATATCTTAATTGCTACCTCGTGAACGCATATCTAAATAACGTTCGACCACCTCCGTGGACTAATGGTAGACCGTCCGCCCGGAGACCGGAAGGTTCGGGGTTCGATCCCCGGCCGCGTCATACCAAAATAAAAGATGGTACTAGTTGTTACCC